GCCCTTTAAAGTGTTCTTTTCTGGAGGCTATGTGCTTATTCTTGTAAGGCTGCCACTGCTCCAAGCCTATTTGAAACTAGATTCCAGGATATAAAGGGGAACAAGGATTCTTGAGAGGGTGATGGAGATATCCTGTATCTTGATTTTGGCTGGTGCTTCCAGGGACATATATAACTCTGAAAACTCACCAATTTGTACACTTTAAATGGATGCAGGAAATTGTACATAAATTCTTTCTCAGTAAAGCCAGTTAGGGGAAAAAAAAAACTTGATTGCTAAGAGCAATTCCAGGTCACTTTACAAATCCCACAAGAGACAGTCTCATTATTTTATAATTGTGCCTATCAAGGTACCTATTGTGTAATAGCACTTGAAAAAAAAAATTTTTTTTTAACTAGAGAAAGTGGTACTCAGCATGACCACCCCATGTTTTACCAAATGTGGATCTAAAATTACTTTTGACCATTTCTAAATTTCTAAAAGTTAAATATTAGAGGATCATGATTTTCTACCATTGAGGATATTCCGAGATTGTATTGTGGGCTTTGAAAGTCATTTCAAAAGCAGAAGTACAAAGTGGGTTGAGTAATGGCATCATCATTAGAATATGGGTGTGGCTTTTTAAGGTGACTACTTTAAAGGACCATATTCATTTGAGTGCATAAGTTCTGGTATGTTTATGAAAATATCAGTCATTATCCTATTTTATGTTTATTTCAAATTTATAAGGCCAAAAGATGATAGCAGGTATATAATCTGGCTTTTTGCCATAGTAACATTCCTTAATTTTAGTTTTTATTTCTCTTTCATATTGTTTTCATAAACGCACTTTATTTCTTAGATGAAATTTGAAGAAAGTGATCTTTCCAATAATTGCCTAAAATGTACATATTTATGAAAGCCCATTTGTGATACTGAGCTATGAGTATAGTGTGTTGAACTTACATTTACAGTGATCCCAAGGTTGAGAACTTGTTAATATCTGAAATTCAACCCAAATGTGACCTAAAATTTGAAAAATGATTTAGAGGTGGTTCTGTTTTCATATATTGTTGCAGTTTTTGAATTTTGTTAAAGGAGAAATGGTGATGTTAATGTTTTAATTAACCATTTTAAATTACAGTTTAAAATCAGGTGACTCATCTCAATTTGGTCATCCAAAAAATTGACAATTTGGTGGTTTAGCCCCATGTTTTAAAGTGCATATCCTCACTTGTCCTTACTTCAAAAGCTTTTCCAACCGTCTCTTTACTACACTATCACCGTCTAAGTTTCCCAATCCCATAAAAAGTCCAAAACCTCCTTTCTTCCTTACAAGGGTCAGCTTTAAGAATTGTGTAAGACTGGAGAACTGTCAAGAGGGTTCCTAGGTTGGAAGGCAGTTGGTGGCAATGAGTATTTTGGGAATATATTGAACTTCTGGGAAAAGATATAAAATGGCCAAACTCAGCTTAATTGCACTTTCAAGTGGCTGGCTACCGTAGGCTTAAATAAAAGGCACATTTCCACCTATTCATTCAAGTTCAACTGAGGACAGTGCCTTTTGTGTGCATGTGTGTAAACTTCTGGGATGTTAGGATGCGCCCAAACCTGCTAAACTCAAAGGGCAAATATGCTGAAAAATGGTGAAAATGACCTTCGCGTTGCCAGCCATTCTTATCTACTTCTTCAGTTAGTCTTTTTCGATTCTATCAAGTCACTTGGAGTTATAAAGAATGTTTTTTGAGGAGGAGGAGAGTAGGACAGATACATGCTACTTTCATGGGTGTATAACAGTTTTTTACAATGATCAAATGTTGTGGGCTGTTTTATGTTCCTACAGAAATTGTTTGCCTTTATTTGTGTAGTAACAGGAAGCCTCTAGAGTATTCACAACTTTTCACATCATATAAGAAAACTAGCTTTTTGGCATAAGGGCATTCCACTTAGTTTTATATTTAAATATTATAGTTCTTAATATGTATATGTCTCTTAGGCACCACAAACGTTGATGGTATATCTTTAGAAAAAGAATGAACACAACTCAGATCCAATAATCAAGTACCAGATACAAATCCACTCAAGTTGGGGATAACACAAATACTGAGCCTAAAGATGCTAGAGCACCTTGGCTTGCTGCCTCATCATTCCAGCAGTTAACTCTGTTTCTTAAACATTCCATTTTTTAAAAGTAAAGCTCTCACAAGGCACCCACTAACACCTCCTCTGGATCACCATGCCATAGATGAAAATTCTGGGCTACATACCAGCATATGAATGAGTATTAACACTTCCAAGTATGTACCAAATCTCAGGTATACAGTAAATCTGAAATATGCAGACTTTATTTTGCCAAAAATGCGTATTTAAAATTTTTCCAGTTAATTTATTCTGACCTAAATGCTTTTTTTTTTTTTTTTTTTTTTTTTTTTTCCTAGGATTCTTTTTTTTTTTTTTTTTTTTTTTTTGACAAAACCAGGAACCTCAGATCTTGATAGCTCTCAATATAAAAGTGCTAATTAAAAAAAAAAAAGTGCTACAGAAGATGCTATCATGGCAGTTCATTTTGGCAGTTCCTGACACCTCAGGAAATGTCTCCATTGAAAAGTTATTCCTGCTTCCCTCTCTTCAAAATGATCTAGTAATTCCCAGAAGGATAAAGAGCCAAAGGCAGAACAATCAAATGCTATTAAGTTTTGCTATGTGTGTGTATGTATATACACAGCTATGTTCTCACTTTTACAGACATACCCCAGAAGGCAAAACAAGCCAAAACTGACATCTGTTGGAAAAAAATTACTGGAAGGTTTATTGGAAATATAACGGCAATGATGTTTTTCTGTGCTAAAGTAAAGCTCACTTTTATTTGGGGTACTCAGTTCCCACTGGTGAATTCTACACCAGCAAGTTGGTTATTTGGAGCAATTATCTAGATAAAGCAAGCCAAATAATCTAAAATATCCAGTTTTGAGGCAAAGTTGCAGGGGTTGAAGGTAGGGAGAGCTGGGAAGTAGGTATGAAGAGGTTATTTAAATGATCTGAACACTTGGATCAATTTGCATTGACTACATCTATATGAGCAATCTTTTGAAAACTTGATTACCAATAAAATATGCTAAATTTTTCTTAGGTACCTTTATTTTTATGTATTTATTTTTGAGACAGAGTCTTGCCCTGGCTGGAGTGCAGTGGCATGATCTCAGCTCATTGCAACCTCTGCCTCCGAGGTTCAAGCGATTCTCATGCCTCAGCCTCCCGAGTAGCTGGGACTACTGGCGTGCACCACCATGCCCAGCTAATTTTTGTGTTTTTAGTAGAGACAGGTTTCACCATGTTGGCCAGGCTGATCTCAAACTCCTGGACTCAAATGAACTGCCCACTTCGACCTCCCAAAGTGCTGCGATTATAGGAGTGAGCCACCATGCCCAGCCTCCATTTTTCTTAGCTATTTTAAACAAAGGATTTGCTGCCTGTCTTCAAGTACTCTTTACCTGATGATTTCACAAACCAAAGTCTGGGCCACTAAAACTATTAGTCAAAACACCACTTGAGTTTCACCCACGATGCAACATGAATGCCAATGGTTCTTTGTATTTTCAGGCTAAGGTATGGCCTCATATTTATCTCAAGTTCCCACTGAAGTTTTCAGAGGAGGTTTGTACTGCCATAAGAACTATAAAGTTCTTTTTTGGAAAAAGTATCAAGTCATTTGAAAAGTGGAGGCCTTCGTTTTTTTAAAAATTAATCAAATTGCAGGCAGATATTTACGACTTAGCTGAAATAGTGTAAGTTAGGTCACAGTGGAATAAAAAATGATTCTGGGAGGCAGAAAGAATGGAGTTTTTTAATGCCTCCATTTAAGTAGACAGAAGCATAACTCGGAGCGTTTGTATCCCTGTAAAGTTTGGCATCTTCTAAAAATGATTTTAAATTTAGAAACTTCCCTTTATTTTTGTATTTCACTGGACTTAAAGCTAGAGGTGGAGGAGATACTTAAACAATGGTCACTTTGTAATATAATTCACATATTTTTAATTTTTACCCTTATTAGGGAGACTTTCTGAGATCAAATAAATGAATCCAAGGTGTCTGGAAGTGATAAGCCAACTGTTAAGTAGGTGGACCGTGATATGGATATTTTAGATAAATAGTAAATGATTTTTGTATTATTTGTGTTTGATTTTGCAGTACATTTTTTAATTTACATTTAAATATGTCAGTCTGAAGTTTTTGGAGTTCACAGCATTTTGGAGTTCACAATGGGAAAATGAAGTGGCCATTACAGATACCACAACAAAAGGGTATCCTGTAATGACCACTTCATTTTCACATTGCCTATATATAACATACATACTTACTAACAAATGTCTTCTGTAATCTAGAAGATTTCAGTTTACCGACCAGCTCTGTGACCTTGAGCAAGTCATTGTCCTTCTATGGGCTTCTTTATTTTCTATTTGTAAAACATGAGGTTAGAATAGAGTAAATCTTTTATAAAATTCCCTTTTAGTTCTTTTTATGTTTTTAAGTTTACTGTCAAGTTGGCTTATAATTCCTCTAGGGTCAGAGGATATACCTAAGCATTTTCACTTGAAATACCTTTTGTGATATCAAGAGAATAAGGAGGTGAACAAAATCTCTTTCCTTTCCTACTTTGTACTGAATTAGAGTTAATAAAAATGTTGGCATCACCAACATGGAAGTTAGGGCAATAGCTGTTTAGCTTTAACCCCTATCCTAAAGGAGGCTTCACTATAGCTAGTAAAGTCTTAAGCCCACATCACAACGATAACCCTGAGAAGATCTGAAAAGGAATGTACTCCTGTGACATATGACACTGGTTCTTTCAGTAGTAGAGATTGATTTACACATATGATGTCTTTAGAATATAACAGAAGACTTTTGGAATACAGTTCCGTGTCTGGCTAGCTTGTTTTCTGATGAGTTGATAAGGTCACTGCTAGAACAATTATACTGTACATAAGTTTTCAGAAGTGATATACATTTCTGAGAAAAACATGTTTTTATGAAATAGGGTTATATGCTATTTCTTTTGGTGCTGTTAATATGAGTTAGGAAGGTAGCCCAGGTTCTATTATTATTCAAAGTGAATTTGACAATTTGGAAAGCTGAATCTGTAACTTCAGAAACCTTTCCGGAAAGTAACCTATTACAAAATGTCAAGGACATATATGACAGTCTCAGTGAAGCAGGGGAGAAATTGATTTGAGTGAAAAACCACTTCAGATATGATCAAGGAATTATTTTGGGACAACCTTTGTGCTAAATGAGTCTTGATGCAGCTTTTACACTTGATCACTTTTCGCTGGGTCTGAGGCTTTATTCTTCAAAACCTCCTCCTATTTCTGGCCCTTACCCCTCCATTTGGCTCTTCTCTAGGCTATTGAAAGAGATGAAATCCAAATAACAGAAATCACACTATCAAAAGCAACTTTGGAGGCATATTTGCAGTGTTTGAAAATTCCTCATTTCTCTTTTACCAGAAATTACATACATTAATCTAAATGGAATCCTATTGGTGTTGACATTTAAAAGAGCAGAGTGACACCTAACTATTTTACTTTTCTGGGCTATACGCTATTAATTTAATCTCTAGGATTCAGACCTAAAGTTTTTTCAGGTCATATGTTAGAATCTAAATTGAGGAAACCTTTGTGCTAATGTTGGTAAAAACCGCCCTTGCTCAAGGTTCTGAGTGGTTATCAGGTCTAAAATGATGATCATATGCATTGTGGACTTTATTTTTTAACTTGAACCGTTGTATTCTGATGAGGTACTCTTAAGCTGTGCAAAAGAATATGTTTGGATGTATAAATACGGCTTTCTTTGAAGACAGTAGAATTTGGATCACGTTTATAATTCCATGAATCCACTAGGGTTGTTATGTTTCATATTTAACATAATTTACACATGCAATTCCACTGCCCCAATGAATATTAAAACTGCAATGCGAATTAAGTTATCTCGACCTAAAATTGCCATTTTATAAAGCAATTAATTAAAATTAAGATGCTCTTTTCTCATTTTGACACTTCAGCAATATGACATTTTTCTTATATTTCAAATTCAGGCTTTTATCTTAGAAATGCTTTGATAGCAATGATAATTAAAACTATCAACAAAATAGGACCTGACAAATATGACAACTATTTTTCTTGCCAATGTATGAGATGTAGTGACTACTGGTTAGAGTGCAGTAGAAGTTTTTAAAAAACAGCACAAATTCTAAATACTAATTTTGATACTATCAAATTTTAAAATGTAAGATAACTGAAACACACAAACACAGGAAAAGAATTCACCTAACTTATTAGATATAACATATACTATGGGGTAAATATTTCAGTGGCACATATTAGGAAACTAACACATCTTTAAGAAACAAGAAAACTCAACAGCCCCCACAATAAGAAGTTGTAGTGTTTAAGAACGAAACAAGTCATTTATACCTAGAAACTACAAGCTGACAATTCTTTGGAATCTCTTCAGCCTCCCTTTGATGCTGTTCATTGAACCAGCATGGGCAGCGTGTAGCACTGAATGGCAACAAAGATAGGCAGGGTAGTTTGCCTTATCTGATAGCTGGTGGGGACTGCTGACCACATCCCTCAGCTCTGTGGGAAAATGGCATGAAATCCTGAGGATGGTCAGGAATCTGTGTGGCAGCAACAGCAAGTTGGCACCTGGGGCTTCAAGGAAGCATGGGTAATAAAAGCAAAGCAAAAGGGTGAAGCACCCAGCTGCACCTCTGCTGATTAGGTGCAACACCCTTTCAGTTGGTTGTAAGATGGACTTAGTGTTTACAGGTATAAAAAGGCAAAAGCTAATGAAAGTAATAAAACAACAAAAATGGAGAATGTGGCTATAAAAGATGGTGCAAATAGGAGTTTCACTCTCCTTTTTGGGGGGCAGGGGCAGTAAGGGAATCATATTTTGTGTCACCTCTGAGAGCAAGGAAATGACAAATTTCTGTTGAGTTCCAGAACAGATGATAAGGACTTGACTTAGAGCCGAGTTGTAACTTGTTCTTCCTGTCCATCACCCCATTTGTGCATGAGCAAGTCACAAGCCTCTCCCCAAGTTTCAAATACATCCTCTGAGGAGTCTAAAAGTTTAGAATTTGAGGAGCAGATGCTGGATGCACAGTGAAGAGAGCTGGAACAGGCTAAAGGGCATTCACTGCTCTGAGCAGCGCCCTGGACTTCACCTAATTCTACCTCACTGAGGTTAATTTCACTTTGAGCACAGGCCTCTGCTTTCCCTTTCTCCATCTGAGAATATCTGATGTCCTGCCACATACAGTGCTGCTGAACAATTCCACCAGAAATTGTGTACATTGGCTCTGAACTGGGTTCAGACATATGACTATTAAATTTGGAGAATAGGAGACCCAGTTTCTTGAGAGAAGGACCCATGAAGGAGCGTTTGCTTGATGACTCAGCTTTTGACTTTCCCTGGGCACCACTGGATCTTGGCATGGTTCTGATGAGAGGTGGCCCATGGCAAGCCTTTTTCTTGCAGCCTAAATTAAAAGAGACACTCTTGGATTTGGCCCGAGCCCCACCACTGCCATCATGAGTATCGTCTCTCTGAGAGAGTTCAGTGCTGCTAGTGGAAAAGCTTCTCCTTGGGTGTTTTCTATTTCCCAAGAGGTCAAGAACTTCATATCGAAAGCTGGAGATGTCTTGCTTTAATTCCTAGGGAAAGAGAAGTGACACGTTATGTCAGAAAGCTTGGTCTTTATTTCACAGTAGGCACATTAGATACCTTTGGAATGTTCCAGGTTTTTGCCTAGTAGCAAATCACAAAATACGAGAAAAATCTGCTATTATTCAAATGCAAGAAAAACATATTAATAATTCCATGGGCACAGCTGGCAATTGGCAAAATTGTACAGTGGATAAAGTTGATTCAGGATTAGTTAACACTGTAGTAGTGATTAGTCTGTTGAGGCACTTTCATAATGACTAACTCCTGCTGAAGTATTAACAAGGTGTTAGATTAGGACACTGGCTCTTACAAGTGTCTGCATATAAAAGATATGAATATTCCTACTGAAGAAGAAAAAGCTTTAGAACTCTAAGAAGTGAAACTAGTGAAGTGGAATGTCAGGTGATGAGACTGCTGTTTTGAGACTTGTTCAAGTCTCTATGAAATGTCTTCTATCTCCAACTGGCTGCTAACATACTGGGTTGTTCCTTTAAAAGTCAAGCTGAAATCTGTTCATGTCCTTCCCCTGCTTAAAACTTGTTACTAACCTGTCACTGACTTTAGGAGAAAGTAGAAATGCCTTACCATGGACTACCAGGTTTTTCAAGGCCTAGTACTGGTTGCTTTCTCCAGTTCCATCTTTCTACTCTTTTCCCAGGCTCTCTACTGGACACATTCTCCCTTCCCTGTGGGCCTTTGCCTGTGCTCTTCTCTCTGTCTAGAACACTCTTCTCCCCAACTCCCTTTTATTTGGCTGGCTTCTCTTTCAAGCCTCAGCTTAAGCATCACTTCCTTTGGAAAGTCTGTATTGACTCCCCAAGTCTCAGTTGAGTGTCCCTCCTCTCTGTGTTTCCACAGTGTCCTGTGTTTAACCTGTCAGAATATACAATTGTTCATTACCCTGTATTATTGTCATGCCTTGAAAGTAGGAGTTGGTTAGATCTTGCTCCCCACTGTACCAGAGCAATTAGCACTTATGTGCTTGAAACATAGCAGACCCTTGGTAGATGAGTTATGTCTACGAATAAGGATGATGGTCTTCCTGTGTGCCTTAGAAAATATAGATGTGTTCTAGGATAGGATTTCTCAACCTCGGCACTGTTGATGTTGGGCTGGATAATTCTTGTGGGAAGCTGTCCTGTTCATTTTAGGATGGTTAGTAGCAACTTTGTCTTTACTGTCCAGATGCCAGCTTAACAACCAAAAATATCTCCAGACAGTGCCAACTGTGATCTTGGGACAAAATTGCCCCTGGTTGAAAACATTTGTTTTAGGCTAATGCCACTGCTGTAGTAGAATTTTCATGTTTAATGGTAGAGTTTCTTAAGACCTTAGATTTAATAACAGATTTTTTAGTCTTACATTTTTTAAGTAAAGAAGATCTTTAAGTCTCCAGGCATCTTCCCTTTGCTTCTCATTCCCTCACCACCATGCATCCTTACCATATCATTTAAAGCATTCAGTGTCCACACTGAGAAACACCCAGAATATTGAAAGAATGAATACAGAGGATTTCTTTCATTCATAACACTGATTGTGGTGTGACATACATTGCTAAAATATCTCCATCTACTGGATGAGAGACAATTCTAAGAGAATAAGCAGCATTGTAATTGGCTTTGCTGTATTGTAAGCAGATGAAATTCTATCACTAGAAACCTCACACACTGTGAAGATTAAATGATGCTTATGATATGTAAAATGAGAAACCACTTCATGATTAAATTACCTTAAAATTTTCTTCTGTTAGCCCCTCATTTGTTTTGGAATTTCTTATCATAGCAGCCACATATCTTTTGACTAAATTCCTGATAACTTCCTGGAATAAAACAAAAACAAAAACAAAAACAAAACCATGAAGCATTCAGTTTTTTCTCAGACTTTCAGGAAATAAGAAACTTACATAGGAAATAAAATGTGCTTAGACCTTCTTTGCAGTAGAAAACCCTCATAGGATCCAGCCTTTTATTGTTAAAAAATGAGTTAAGTCCATTAGCTAAACAACTATTATGTCTCTGAATTCAGTGGCAGAATCAAATTCACCCTAAAGGAAATTTTTTTACCCAAGCATAAGGTAAACATGTATTCACATTTATAGAATAATAAGAGTGGAATAATCCTTGCATTGTCATACAGTTAACATTCTTTTCCTTTAGGACAGATTACACGTTAACATTCCTAGTAAAATGAGTTTTTTTTTTTTTCTCCTTTTATAAAATTAAGAGAGTCTTCTTCAGAGTCACTAAGTCTGCTGATTTTAATGTTCACTAATTACATAGTGAAGATATTTTTTGCATAGTCAATCTACACTTCTCATTTACAGGAATGTCCTCTTTGCAGTTAGCCTCCAGGGGAATGGTCTACACATGATCACTACAATTTGTATTAGTGATGGTGATGATGATAGCTACCACTTATGGCAACATGTCATGCAACATATGCACATATACATATTATACATACTCATCACTCAATTTTCACAACTCTGTAAGTTAAGTTTTATTACTCTCTCAATGTTACAGATGAGGAATTCAAAGCTCAATGAGGCTGACACATCCAATGTTACACAACTAGTAAGTGTCAAGATTATTCTACTTGACACGTCAGTAGAATAATCTACTATTTCAGTCTGATTTCATTCTACCTCAGTCTGATTTCAAGGCCAATGGTAATAGTAGCCAATGCAATATTTATTGCTTCGGCTACTATGTGCACTTGAAGTCACTGAGATGTGCAGAAATCTTTTTTTTGTTATTTTTGAGGGCTATTAAGCAGAAAATGAAGGCACTGAATCTTGCTTAAGATTTATTATTGTAAAAATAACATTTGAAGATGGGAGTAGGGAGAGAAGGCTTACATACAAAATATTTTCTGCTTCTCTTTGTTAGTTATGGCCTAAGGGGAACAAAGTTAGGAGAAGTGACCTATAAAATAAGGATGGATTTCCTACAAATGCTGTAGAACATTTTTCTACTTTGGGTTTCTTTTCATCAGGACAGTGAAAGATGGTTGTCTCTTATTTGTGATTTGCAAGGATTACTCTTAAGAGATGTGATATTTGTATGCTCAGCTGTTTTCTAGCTGGTGAGAAGAGTGCCCTAATGTTTATTAGGTTTATTACTTTTTTTTTTTTTTTAACAAAATGCTGAAGTGCTTCTCTATTCCTTTGATTAAAGTCACGTTGTAATTTATCAAGATCTAAGTTCCTGACATTCAGATAAGCTTTTACTTCATTGAGGTTAGTTTCCTACAGTTATATATTTCCATTGCCCTATGTACTTTTTCCTCATGGCAGTTTTTATCCTTGTAATCACTTAATTTTAATACGATCTTCCCTTGGTATACTCTGGGGATTGGTCCCAGGGCCCCCGCCCCATGTACCAAAATCCATGCATACTTAAGTCCTGCAGTCATCTTGCAGGACCTGCAGATACAAAAAGTCTGCCCTTTTGTATATGTGGATTTCACATCCCACAAATACTATATTTTTATTGCATTTGTTGAAAAAATCTGCCTGTAAGTCGATCTATACAATTCGAACCTCTATTGTTCAATAGTTAACTATAATTTTAATGACTTGTTATTTTATCCCTGCTAGATAATAAATTTCATACGAGCAGAAAGATTGCATCTTTTTTGTTCATAGTCATTTTTCTAGTATCTAGCATAGTGTTTGATGTACAGTAGGTACTCATATATTTGACTGACCAACCACATATTCTATTTTATGTAATTTCAAAAAAGACAGCTTGTTGCTGATCAAGCTGAGGGAGTGCATAAGGGCCATGAACAGTATTATAAAGCAGGTGATTCCACTTAAAAGAGGTACTTCAGCCTTTGATAAATTACAGCCTTTTCAAGCCTCCTATCCCAGTCAAATGGGATCGTGTCCAGACACAGCCAGAGTGGAGTTTGTTTCTCCTCCACAGAACCAACCAACAACTATTGTGCTTCATCCCTGTGAGGAAGTTTTACCTGATAATGTTGATTTTGTATCAGGCTGTCGGCATTGCGATCCTGTAATTGAAAATAGACAGAGATGTTACATCAGTAGTCTCTCAGCACCCTATCCACCTACCCATCTGAATTTATTTCTAAATATTAGGACTGGAGAATGATACAGGAACTCCTGCCTGACAAACCCCCAAAGCAAATGTATGTTGGAATTACTTTATGATGTTGAAAGTAGTGAGTATCACAAAGGAGAGAAGGGAAGAAACTGTTTTGTTTAAAAAGATTCCAAATGTCATGAAGTATCCTGGATGGGATCTTGAAACAGCCAAGAAAATTCACTGTAAGTGAGGATATTTGAATAAAGCATGGACTTAATAACAATGTAAAAAAATAAAAAGATTCATAATTTTGGCCGGGCACGGTGGCTCATGCCTGTAATCTCAGCACTTTGGGAGGCCACGACAGGCGGATCACCTGAGGTCAGGAGTTCAAGAACAGCCTGGCCAACATGGTGAAAACCTGTCTCTACTAAAAATACAAAAAAAAATGGCCAGGCGTGGTGACTCACACCTGTAATCCCAGCACTTTAGGAGGCCGAGGCAGGTGGATTGCGAGGTCAGATGTTTGAGACCAGCCTGGCAAACATGGCAAAACCTCATCTCTACTAAAAATACAAAAATTAGCCGGGCATGGTGGTGCCCACCTGTAGTCCCAGCTACTTGGGAGGCTGAGGCAGGAGAATCACTTGAACCCAGAGGCAGAGGTTGCAGTGAGCCGAGATTGCACCACTGCACTCCAGCCTGGTGACAGAGCCAGAGTCCGTCTGAAAACAAAAACAAAAATTAGCCAGGCATGGTGGCAGATGCCTGTAACCCCAGCTACGCTGAGACACGAGAATTGCTTGAATCTGGGTGGCAGAGGTTGACAGTGAGCTGAGACTGTGGCATTGCACTCCAGCCTGGGTGACAGAGCAAGACTCCGTCTCAAAAATAAAAAGATTCATAATTTTAAAAAGTCTTACTGTGAAGCTTCTCAAGTTTCGCCTTCTCCGTCTACCGTCAGGGTCTCTTTTGGGGCAGAAGGTGTTGTTGAACCAGTTACCAAGGTATAGAAATGACTTGGGGCTTGGGATGATGTTGAAAGGAGGTGGCAACGTTCCACCTTCATCAAAGTAACTCATCCAGAGCTTCGTCCTTGCAAACTTCCACTCAATATCAGCATGATCCTATGAAAGACAAAAGTTCAAGGATTTGGGATGGGAAACTGTACGACATACCCACTTCTTATTCTAAACTTTCTAGTTGCTTCTATAGAGGGCAATATGTCAATAGCTATATAAATTCAAATCATACATAACCTGTCACCCAGTTACCCTACTCTTAGAAATATATCCAATATATATACTTATAAAAATATGTATGTACAGGGCTGTTTACTGTCGCACAGATAATAGTAGCAAAAAAACTGGCAGCAACCTAAATATTCAACAGTAGAACTGATTAAATAAATGGTGTTACATCTACAAAATGGTATTAAATATAAATACTAAAATGTAGATCCATAAACATATTTATATATATATGCATTTGTTCAGGCCCTCTAAATGAATAAAACAATATAAAGCACAATATATATTATGTACAATGATCCAGTTTATACAACCGAAAAATATTTTATATTACATGCTTACATGTTGTAGACAAGTACACACTAAACTGTCAATAGTAGTTATTTTTAAGGAGTGCGATTATGGTGGGAGGCTTTGTTTTTTAAAAAACTTCAACTTTATTGAGGCATAATTTACAAAGAATAAGATTCAACCACTTAAAGTGTTTGATGAGTTTTGACAAGTATATATACCCATGTAACAACCAATATTATCATAACACACACACACACCCACCCTAGTGTACATTTCTAGGATTTTTAAGAGATGTATTGACTGATGTAATCACTACTACAATGAGGTTACACATTTCTATCACCCTCCAAAATTCCCTATTTTTACCTCTTTGTAACTCTCCCAACTAACCTCTGACAACTGCTGCTCTGTTTTCTGTCCCTATAGTTTAGCTTTTCCAAAATGTCATATAAATGGAATCATATAGTAGGTAACTTTTTAAGACTGGCTTATTTTACTCAGCATAACACCTTTGAGATTCATCTGTGTTTTCATATGTATCAATAGCCCATTCAATCATATTGCTGAGTAGTTTTCTATTATATGGATGTACAATGGTTTATTTGTTTACCCACTGAAGAACATTTGGGTTATTTCCAGTTTATAGCAATTATGAATAAAGCTGCTATGACCATTCATGTACAGGTTTTTGTCTAAACACAGGTTTAATTTTTCTAACTTAAATACCTGGGAGTGGTATTGCTGAATCGTGTGTTAAGTGTGTGTTAAACTTTATAATAAACTGCCAAACTGTTTTTCCAGAGTGGCTATACTGTCTTACATTTTCGCTAATTGCTCTATATATTTTTTAGTGCTTGTCAGGTTTTTAAAGTTTACTCATTCTAACAGGTATGTAGTGGGATCTCATTATGGTTATAATTTGCATTTCCCAAATGGCTAATGATGTTGAGCATCTTTTAACATGCTTATTTACCATCTGTATATCTTCTGTGATGCAGTGTTCTTTGGATCCTTGGCGCATTTATATCTATATGTCTATCTGTACACACACACATGCACATATAACACACATACACATAGACACACATACACATACATGCACACACATAGAAACACACACACACACACACACACACACACACACACACACACATACACACACATAGATGGATAGATATTCTAGATACCATCTCTTTGTTAAATCTGTGACTCGAAATATTTTATTTCAGTCCGTATCTTGTCTTTTCATTCTCTTAATGATGTCTTTACTAGAGCAAAATTTTACTTTTGAGATCGTCAAAATTATCATGTTTATAAAACTATCTTTTTTTAATAGATTGTGCTTTTTGTGTCATGTCTACAAAATCTTCAGCTAACCCAAGGTGATGACAGTGTTCTCTTATGTTTCCTCCACAACTTTTGGAGTTGTAAGATATGCCCTTAGTTCTGTGATCCATTTTGAGTTGATTCTTCTATAATGGAAGAGATTTATGTTGAGATTCTTTTTTTTTTTTTAATTGTATTTTAGGTTCTAGGGTACATGTGCAGATCATGCAGGATTGCTGCATAGGTACATACATGGCAATGTGGTTTGCTGCCTCCATCCCCCATCACCTATATCTGACATTTCTCTCCATGTTATCCCTCTCCACCCTCCCCACCCCATGCTGTCCCTCGCCTAGCCCCTCCCCAACAGACCCCAGGGTGTGATGCTCCCCTCCCTGTGTCCATGTGTTCTCATTGTTCAACACCTGCCTATGAGTGAGAACATGTGTTGTTTGATTTTCTGTTCTTGTGTCAGTTGGCTGAGAATGATGGTTTCCAGATTCATACATGTCCCTACAAAGGACACGAACTCATCATTTCTTATGGCTGCATAGTATTCCATGGTGTATGTGTGCCACATTTTCCTTGTCCAGTCTACCATCGATGAGCATTTGGGTTGGTTCCAGGTCTTTGCTATTGTAAACAGTGCCGCAATAAACATACATATGCATGTGTCTTTATAATAGAATGATTTATAATCCTTTGGGTATATACCCACTAATGGGATTGCTGGGTCAAGTGGAATTTCTATTTCTAGGTTCTTGAGGAATTGTCACACTGCCTTCCACAATCATTGAACTAATTTACACTCCCACCAATAGTATAAAAGTGTTCCTATTTCTCCACATCCTCTCCAAACATCTGTTGTCTCCAGATTTTTTAATGATCACTATTCTAACTGGCATGAGATGGTATCTCAATGTAGTTTTGATTTACATTTTTCTAATGACCAGTGATGATGAGCATTTTTTCACATATTTGTTGGCCTCATATATGTCTTCTTTTGAAAACTGTCTGTTCATTTCCTTTGCCCACTTTTGAATGGGTTTGTCTGTTTTTTACTTGTAAATCTGTTTTAGTTCTTTGTAGATTCTGGATATTAGCCCTTTGTCAGATGGGAAGATTGCAAAAATTTTTTCCCATTCTGTTGGTTGCCAGTTCACTCTAATGATTGTTTCTTCTGCTGTATAGAAATTCTGGAGTTTAATTAGATCCCATTTGTCTATTTTGGCTTTTGTTGCCAATGCTTTTGGTGTTTTAGTCATGAAGTCCTTGCCTGTGCCTATGTCCTGAATAGTTTTTCCTAGGTTTTCTTCTAGGGTTTTTATGGTGTTAGGTCTTACGTTTAAGTCTTTAATCCATCTGGAGTTAATTTTAGTGTAAGGTATCAGAAACGGGTCCAGTTTCTGTTTTCTGCACATGGCTAGCCAGTTTTCCCAACACCATTTATTAAACAGGGAATCCTTTCCCCGTTGCTTGTTTTTGTCAGATTTGTCAAAGATCAGATGGTTGTAAATGTGTGGCATTGCCTCTGACGCCTCTGTTCTGTTCCACTGGTCTATATCTCTGTTTTGGTACCAGTACCATGCTGTTTTGATTACTGTAGCCTTGTAGTATAGTTTGAAGTCAGGTAGCGTGATGCCTCCCGCTTTGTTCTTTTTGCTTAGGATTGTCTTGGCTATGCAGGCTCTCTTTTGGTTCCATGTGAAGTTTAAGGTGGTTTTTTCCAGTTCTGTGAAGAGGGTCATCGGTAGCTTGATGGGGATAGTGTTGAATCTGTAAATTTCTATGGGCAGTATGGCCATTTTCACGATATTGATTCTTCCTAACCATCATCATGGAATGTTTTTCCATCTGTTTGTGTCCTCTCTTATTTCCTTGAGCAGTGGTTTGTAGTTCTTCTTGAAGAGGTCCTTTACATCCTTTGTTAGTTGTATTCCTAGGTATTTTATTCTCTTAGTAGCAATTGTGAATGGCAGTTTGCTCTTGATTTGGCTCTCTGTTAGTCTGTTATTGGTATATAGGAATGCTTGTGATTTCTGCACATTGATTTTGTATCCTGAGACTTTCCTGAAGTTGCTTATCAGTTTCAGGAGATTTTGGGCTGAAACAATGTGGTCTTCTAAATCTACAATCATGTCATCTGCAAATAGAGACAATTTGACTTCCTCCTTTCCTAATTGAATACCCTTTATTTCTTTTTCTTACCTGATTGCTCTGGCTAGAACTTCCAATACTATATTGAATAAGAGTGGTGAGAGAGGGCATCCTTGTCTAGTGCCAGATTTCAAAGGGAATGCTTCCAGTTTTTGCCCATTCTGCATGATCTTTTTAAAAATATGAGTGAACAATTGCTCTGATACCATTTGTTAGAACAGCTCTCATTTCTCCATTGAACTGCTTTTGCCCCTTTGCCGAACATCACTTGGGGCATGCTGGACTACTAGATATCCACATTCAAAAGAGCACAGTTAAACACTTCACTTATACCACATACAGAGCTTAAATCAAAATGGATGATTGGCTTATACTTAATAGATAAAAACTATAAAACTCTAATAGGAAAGCTTAGGAGTAAATTTTTGTGACCTTGTATAAAACAACAATTTCTCAGATATGACACCGAAAACTAAGTGTCAAAAGAAAACAGATAAATTTGACTTAACCAAAATTAAAACCTTTTTTACTTCAAAAAACGGCATCAAGAAAATGAAAAGATAACTCATAGAATGTGATAAAATAATTTAATATCATATATCTGATAAGGAACATGTATAATTGTGTATAAAGAATAATTACAACTCAACAATTAAAAGACAAATCAATGTAAAAATGAGAAAAGCATATGAGTAGACATTTCTCCAAAGAAGATATACAAATGGCCAGCAAGCCCCTGAAAATATTCTCAACATCATTAGTCATTAGGAAAATTCAAATTAAAACCACAATGAGATACCACCTTATACCCATTAGGATGACTATTATAAGAAAAGACAGATAATAGCAACTGTTTGTGAGGATATAGAAAAATTGGTCCCCTCATATATTACTCGTGTGTGTGTAAAATGGTATAGCCACTTTGGAAAGCAGTATGATAGGTTACTCAAATGGTTAAACATAGAGCTACCATATGACCCAGCAAATCCACTCCTAGGTACATACCCAAGATCATTTAAAACGTGTCTCCACTCAAAAACTTGTATACAAATTTTTATAGCAGCATTTTTATAATAACTTTAGAATGAAAATAACCCAAA